AGGTCAATATTTGTCACAGCTTGTGTTGTGGAGGTGTGGACGTAGTCACTAGATAGATTGTGTTGTTGGACGTGTTGATGTAGTCACTGGATAGATTTTGATGTGGAAGTGTGGACGTAGTCACTAGATAGATTGTGTTGTGGAGGTGTGGATGTAGTCACTATATTGTGTTGTGGATATGTTGATGCAGTCACTGGATAGATTGTGTTGTGGAGGTCAATGTTTGTCACAGCTTGTGTTGTGTGTGTGAATGTTTGTCACAGCTTGTGTTGTGGAGGTGATTGTTTGTCACAGCTTGTGTTGTGTGTGTGAATGTTTGTCACAGCTTATGTTGTGTGTGTGTGAATGTTTGTCACAGCTTGTGTTGTGGAGGTGAATGTTTGTCACAGCTTGTGTTGTGGACATTTTTCAATAGCTTGGACTTTCGTATGTCGACTTCTTCTATTATAGAGGTGTGAAAGTTTATCATTAGACTGTGTCGTGTAGGTGTGGAAAACCACACACATATATGAATGTATATCAGAGATAACAGTGTAATTTCTCATTTTGAAGAAATATAATAACAATAATTCATACCAAATCACATTGGAAATTTGGCAGTGTGCCAGTTTTGTGCAAATACTATTTTGTAAGCAAAAGAAAATGAAACGTGTATTAAATCAAAATCACCGAAACAGAGCCCCCCTCCTTTTAGTGGCTCAGCGGGAAGTCGGAAGGCTTCTAACATTTGAAACCTGGTTTCGACATAAAATATGAGTTATTCTAAATTTACAAATGACATATCAAACAGTCCTCAATGTAGCTCATTACAGACTGAAAACATAAATTACTTAAGGGTGAATGTGATTTATTAATTAAAAACGGTTACTTTAAAAGAAGTTAGTTTTTTAAGTTTGAAAGTTTTTGTTCGTTATAACGTTTCTTCTGTTTAGTGATCAAACCCAAGAAAAAACAGGTTTAAAGTTCTACCTCTTTTCTTTGTGTGTGTTTTTTTTTGTTATTATTGATCAAGGAATTTAGTACTATTTGTGAACTACAAGAAAATGAAACGTGTTTTAGACCAATCTCGACAGCCAGTTCACGGACCTGCAGAATGTGAAAGTTGTATTGTTATAAGTAAAGTTTGTTAGAACAGAAGGTCTTTATCACAGGACAATCACATATAAAAACACACATAAAACTTAACCATAAAATATACGAAAACAAAGATATTCCAAATAA